AAAATATCTAATTACATTATGAGACTTACTTACTGGCTAAATACAGCGTACCAGGTTCTTGAAATTATGAAAAGCCTTCCAGCCACAGCACGTGAACCCCATCAAACTCTTCCGTAAAGCAGTTCAACCCTATTCACAACATCGTAAACTGCCTCTCTAAGATTCGTTTTAATATTATTGTTTGGGACTCGTGTTGCATTCTGAGTTATTCCATTTTCATGAGAATACCACGTGAACTCCTATCAAGAGATCGATCCATATTTAAAGATCCACGTAGGCTGGAACTATGAAACAATCCTACTAAATTATTGCACATCATATTTTGGGAAATTCGTGCCGTTTTATCAAAGGAAATTTACTGACGCAATAGGTCGGACTCTTTCTTTATGAATAGAACACCTAAAATATCGGAGTTCCTGGATTCATAAGAATTTAGAAGGGAACTTACAGTTTTTATTATGGTGGAATCAATTGCTTTTTATTTATTTACCTAACGTCTTGGCAAAATGAGTTTATACGGTCTAATTAAATATTTTGTTACTGGAGATAGACACACAATACCTATCAAAGAAGAAAAAAAGTAAAAAGCTTACAAAATTTAGGTATGCAGCTTTACATGATGTTTGCGGCGAAAAGGTCCTTTTCTAGTTGTACTCAGTCATGAGACTGGGAACGTGCAATCCATATGAGAGTAGACAAGTTCCTTCATAGCGTTCTCTTGGCAATATTACTTACTTACTTACTCATGGAGCTGAGCCCTTCTGAAGGAGCCGCCAATTCTGCAGCTACGCAAGAATTTCCCAGCATTTTATGGAACCCGAAGGTTCATTACTTTGTTCACAAGAGCCCTCTACTGGTCCCTATCCTGAGCCAGATCAATCCAATTCATACCATCGCATCCTATCTCTCTAAGATCCATTTTAATATTGTCCAACCACCTACGCCTTGGTCTTCAAAGTGGTCTCTTTCCTTCTGGCTTCCCCCCAATTTCCAATACCCATTCCTCGTCTCTTGGCAATATTAACTGTAGAAATTATATTTCTCTGATGCCGATCCTTAAGGCAAATTTATTAGAACCTTGACTATAGAGCTGCAACATACAGACGTACTGACAGATCCATGAACACTTTTATCTATTTATCTATGGCACTACAGTCCTTGTAGACCTTGGCCGATCTATCAGTTTCCTAATTTATGCACGGTAGGACTCCTTGGACTGGGGATCACTCCGTCGCAAGGCCTCAACCTATACAGAGAACAGCACAAACATGAGATAAACGCATACATACATTCATACCGTGAGTGGGATTCGAACCTACGATCTCAACGTTCGAGCTGGCCTTAGACCGCGCGGCCACTATGCACGATCTCACTTACAAAGGTAAAAATGGCGAAGTTGTCCTGAGCTTAATTATTTAAGCACTATCCCATGAAGACCTATGGAGGACCTCGACATTAGATGGGGTGAGATGTCAGTTTCACATTTCAATCGTTTTATCCCCGAGAAAAAAGCCACCCGGTACCCATTGTGCAGGAGGCTGTGTGGGCCCCAGAGCCGGGCTGAACGTGGTGAAGAGAGAAATGGTGCCCCTGACGGGTTTCGAACCGATGCCGTCCAGTCTCTTATATACATTCAGTATATGTATGTCGTGCAAATGACGCATAACAACTGAAACCTGAGTACGAGGTGGCAGAAACTGGTCTATGGATCACTTAATGACCCTTTTTCAATGGTGTGTAGCTCGCCAAGCAAATTTACTGGGACCGACTTCTTCATACGCTGTAATTACTGCAAGGATGTCCCTCTGAGAACAATCCAAGCCTCTAATTACTTGCATTTGTGTCACGGATCGATGGCTTGCGTCAAGCGCTGTGGCTACCGGGCGTGTATTCACTCCCTTAATTCGAAAGTAACACGCAATTTTATTGTCGCGGTAAAGACCTTAATGTCACCAAACTTAACACACATGGCAGTGATCATAGGGGCCGGCCTCGATACGGAATATAGTGGTCTTCGAGCTTCGCGTCTGTGGGAGTTTCTATGTCTGTATCGTGTTCACTGAAGTATGGAACTTTAAACACATTTGCGAACGTATACTTAACAAGATTAATTTAGCCTTGAACTGTACTTTACTTTGAAATTCTATTTAGATAAACTATCGCAAATGTTTGAGAAAATTGTAAGGGGGGACTTCTAAAAACTTAAAAAGTCAATTACAATAAATTTTTACTTAATATTCTTGGAAGGAATATTGCCACAAGTTTGGAATCCAGAAGTGTTTCTTCCATGGAAACGCTAGAACAGACCGTTGCATAAGAAGCAACAATAGCGGTATTGTAATTCTAACAGTGAGCCGTTGCGTAGAGAACGCCGAATCTCCCCGGAGATGAGTCTCCACGGTTATAACGAGGGTTCACTGCATAGCAGCGGCCGAGGTTATAAAAAGGGTTGAAGGCATTTGCCAAGACAGTCGGAACCTAGACGCCATACGATATAGAAGAAGACAGACAGAAGACAAGCAAGAAGGCAGACTTGGGATAGCCGTGGCCGAAGACAGTTGAGATCCAGCCACGGCCAAGGACAGTTGAGACGTCGCATTGGAGTACTGGGCCAGAAGTCAAGTGACGCTGCACGTGACAATATATATAAAGCTGCTTTTAAACAAATGTCCATTATACTAAACTTTTGAAGCGAGAATTTAAGCAAATATTGCATTTATTTATTTAATTAAATTTTAAAATCCATTCACAATATCGTATCACCCACAGATAGCTGAACAGAAGGTCGTGCCATAGTTCAGGCGGTTAGTTGACGGTTTTCTACCACTGCGGTCCGGGTTCTATCCAAAGTCAAGTCATGTGGGATTTGTGGTGAAGAAAGTGGAACTGGGGCAGGTTTTCTCCGAGGACTGCGGTTTCCCCTGTCAATTTTCATTCCACCGACTGCTCCATACTCATCATTCATCATCCGGGGCTGCTACAATAGGCCAATTAGTGGCCGCCGTACCAAGTAGACTGTCTCACCCCACCCCAAGAAACTAAAAGCAAACTGAACAGAAGATATTGGCATGCTTAGAGGCTGATTCCATAACTACAGGCATGGAAGTAGTTACTTCGTAGTTGCGGACAGGTTTCGTCCTGAAGAAACGTAAACTCCCTTAGCTAACCTTTCCTCGATTATTTAATTACGTTTTATTTGTTTTCATCCTATCGTTTTTCAAACTAAGAATGTTTTCACTGGTCCTCGTCGACGAGTGAGAGGCACTTATGCTTCGTATTCGGGAGGTCTTGGTTCAAATTCAGCCCGTGGACAGGCTCCCCCAACTTAGGCATGAGTGGTTTTTCTCAGTCACTCAGGGTCATTACCTGACATTAGTCCGTGACTGCATATTTCCACAAACTGTCGTATTTATTCTTCACTAATCATCCTAGCAATCGACACTACATAGTCTGAGCAACTGGCAACATCGTTAAATAAAATAAAAAACAAAACTCCGTGGCCTGTAGTCCGCAAGCGAACTATACCGACCGAGCGAACGCCGTTTGTCGGCGAAATTAGTGCCGACTTTAGAGGATAGAGGGTGTCGCTGGTCAGCGCAACGAATCCCACGAAATAACTCCTCAGTTATCCTCAAGAGGCTGAGTGGACCCCGTTCCAGACCCACTACTTCTCAGAAAGCTGGTAGCGCTGGGAATCGAACCCGGGGCCTCTAGATCTGTAGCCAGGAACCACTACACCACAGAGGCGGTCAGCGTCGTTAAATACACCGTAAATAAATAGTAGAATTGTATATTTTAGGATAAAATTCGGTGTAATCGTTTGAATGTCCGCCGATATTCTAGAGGAATTTGTCGCCTCCGTTTTAAGGTGTTGAAGTGAAGCCATGCGAGAAACCAACCTGAAGCAGACAGCAAGCGGCTGTGAGAACTTCAGCGTCTACATAAACTGTTAGTGTTTCCGTGTCGTGTTTTAAATACGTGTAGCATTTCATTATTCTTACGCGGCCCAATTAAGAAATTACAAACTGCAGAATGGTTTAAATACTGCTATTATTGCACTTCAGAATAACTAACTACCGGGCAATAATATAGATACCACAAAGAAAAACACACAGACTTTAATTGACGCTGTTAAGGAGGCTGGTCTAGAAGTAAACACAGAGAAAACTAAGTACGCATTTCCGTTTCGTCACCAAAATGCAGGGCAAAATGAGGACATAAAAACAGGTAACATATATTTTGAAAATGTGGCACATTTCAGATATTTGGGAACTACTATAACAAATCAAAACCTGATGGAAGAAGAAATTGAGAGGAGATTGAACTCGGGTAATGCTTGCTCTGTCTTCTCGTCTGCTGTCTAAAAAACATAAAAATTATAATACACAAACTATAATTTTGCCTGTGGTTCTGTATGGGCATGAAACTTGGTCTCTGACATTAAGGGAGGAACATAAACTGTGGGTGTTTGAGAACAGGGTGTTGAGGAGAATATCTGGACCGAAGAGAGATGAAGTGACGGGAGGTTTGAGAAAACTACATAATGCGGAGCTTTATACCTTGTACTCTTCTCCAAGCATAATTAGAATGATCAAGTGAAGGAGGATGAGGTGGGCAGGGCAGGTAGCACGAATGGGGGAGAGGAGGAATGCATGTAGGCTACTGGTGGGAAAGCAAGAAGGAAGGAGACCACTGGGAAGACCAAGACGTTTGTGGGTGAACAATATTAGAATGGATCTTAGAGAGATAGGATGGGATGGTATGTGATTGGATTGATCTGGCTCAGGATAGGGACCATTGGAGGGCTCTTATGAACACGGTAATGGACCTTCGGGTTTCATAAAATACTGGGAAGTTCTTGAGCAGCTGCACAGGTGACAGCTTCTCAAGAACAGCTGAGCTCCATGAGTGAAGTGGGAGTGGTGTTTGTGAAGATAACTTATTCCAGACCGTGTGGACTACAGAGAGAAATGTGACGTAACGGGACAAATGCAGCTTACCGCATACAGCATTCCCCTTTGGTCGAAGTAATCCGCGACCGGCATAACATTCTTGTAAAAATTGTTGAGCTCCATTCTCGCGAGGCTGAGTACCACGTGACCCAGTTTGGCACCATAGTCGATCTGACGCTCCAACACCTTCTGTCTCCAGCTCACCAGAATCACGCCGTTAACAACTTGGATCTGAAACACATACTTTTAGGGTCAGGACTTCCTTATTTCTTAATTGTCTTAAGGTTTCTGATGATGGTCGGTTCATTATGGCTCAAGGGTTTTATGTTGGCACTCCTCACCGTCTGGGATATATATACGAGTATATATATATATATATATAACATACACGATGTTTCGAAAGCTGGATCAGTTTTCGCCATCAGGTGTAAGGTGGGAATTTGCCATGCAATAGCTCAGGCGGTTAGTCGCCGGTTTTCCCCCGCCATGGCTCGGGTTCAATCCTAGGTCAGGTCATGTGGATTTCTGGTGGATAAAGTTGCATTGGGGCATGTTTAGTTTGTGTGTGTGCGTGTTTCTGTGTTTGTGTACAGGTAGGGGCCTTTCGACGAGCTGATCACCCGCCCAAGGAGTCCTACCGAATGTGTAAGCTCTAGGAAAACCGAAGTGAACGGAGAAGTTCATGGAGGTAGGCCTAGGCCCACTGGGGCTGTAGTGCCAAGGGGGAAAGAAAAGAAGTTGCATTGGGGCACGTTTTTTCCGATTATTTCTGTTTCTTATGCCAATTCTCATTCCACCAAATGCTCCAGACTCATCCATAATCCGGGACTAGTGCAGTGGACGCCCAAGAGTGGCGCCATGCTTATGCGGTAACTTCTTCGCGAGGAGAGACGATCATCTAACCGTCAGAATGTTGCTAGCGTCGCAACGCTGTGTAGCGCCTCGCAAGTACGTTCTGCCCTTCCGTTCATGTGTACCCATGAAACAGTTCGCGAAACGCTGCACAAATTTACATGAAATTTTATTCTGTAGAATTTTAAAGTAAATTGTCTGGACTACTTACATTTCTGTGCACATTAAAATATTTATCGAGAAAAATATTTCGAACGAAAATTGTAGAGAAAATAAAGCTCTGTGAATTCAGACGAATTGTTGCAATTTTGCTTCTCTAAACTCAGTTAAATATTCTGAATAGGAGGCTGTATTAAAGCAAGTGTCACGTAACTTCGAACAAGGCCAAGAGTAACCTTGAATGCGCAGAAGAAAAATTTCAGACAAGGGGGTGGGTTCGAGGATGTGAAGAAGTGACAGGCGGCCAGTTGTCGGGTCGACCACAGTAAACGAATCCACATTCATAACTGAAATATAAGATGGTGACCTCGCTCAGTATATCGCCTGATGTTCTACTAAAATGTTTCAGTCCTATAGGTCCATGAATTTTTTCATATTCACGACAACAAAACTCGACTTTCTTGATTCTTATCGGCGCCATTGATTAGTAGACTTCATTCAGCATTCAACTGAGTTAGTATTCACGCTCGCAACACTTAACTCATTTGAACGACAACGTTCATTTATTCTATTGATCTGAGGTTTGAAGAAGGTTGGTGGTTGGCAACATGTGAGTTGTAATCATAGAGGCAGTCGCTTTCAGTTTCCTGCACTTAATTGCGTATTTCCCAGTGACTGAATTTCCATTAAACACGGACATTCTCGAAACAACTTCTTGCCAGAGGAAGCTAGAAGCATTTGCCGGGAAGGAAATTACAAGACTGATTCTGAAGAGAAATAAGGACATCATTCAGAAGACAATGGATGTATGAAATGGAATGGTTCCGAATAAGATGCAATGAAGGGGTCTGGCATAGGCTTTTAGTGATATTGAACCATCGCAGAAAGTTTTTGGCTGGTTGGTTAGTTGGTTTGACCGCCTTTGTGGTCTAATGGTCAGAGTTCCTGGCTAAAGATCCAGAGGTCCGGGTTAGAATCCCGGCGCTACCAGATTTTCTGAGAAGTAGTAGGTCTGGAACGGGGTTCACTCAACCTCGTGAGGATAACTGAGGAGCTTCGGTCTAGAAAACCGAAATTAACGGCCATGAGGATTCATTGCGCTGACCACGTGACATCCAAGGAGATCTTTGTACGTGTAGAATGGGGTATACACGTACCGTAATTTTTCCGTCGAGGCTAGTAGTAATTCTTTCATGTGGTTGACATGAGCGTAAGCTTGTTTAATTAATCGAATGTGTATAATCAATTACAGATACAGTCTTTCCTGTGATTTTATGAATCAGTTATTCAGTGCCCATAAGTTGTTTCTCTGTGAACAGCGAATATATTAGAGCCTAAATTTGCATTAATCTCATTGGCCTTCATTAGAACAAATATTGGAACATTGTTTCTGAGATGAAGTGACGGGAGATTGGAGAAAACTACGTACTGAGGAGGTTCCAAGTGTAATTAGAATGATCAAGTCAAAGAGGATGAGATAGGCAGGGCAAAAAAAAAATGGAGAGAAGAGGAATGCGTATAGGATATTGGTGGGAAAGCCAAAGGGGAAAAGGCCACTAGAAAAACAAAGACATAGGTGGGTGCATAATAATAAAATGGATCTTAGAGACATAAATTGGGGATGATATGGACTGAACTGATCTGGCTCAGGATAGGGACCAGTGGAGGGCTCTTGTAAACACGGTAATGAACCTTCGTGTTCTATAAAATTTTGGGAAATTCTTGAGTGGTTGAGCGACTGGTGGTTTCTTGAGAAGGGGCAGAGCTCCATGCAGTTAGTGAGTTATTAAGTAAAGTAATTTCAGTATGAAGCCGGTCACGGTAGCCGAGCGGTCTAAGGCTTGTACTGTCTTCGCTCGCACGGAAGCCGGGATCGTGGGTTCGAATCCCACTCAGGGCATGGATATTTGTGTGCGTTTTTCTGTGTTTGTGTACAGTTAGATGCCTTGCGATGAGCTGATCACCCGCCCAAGGAGTCCTACCGAATGTGTAAGATCTAGAAAAACCGAAGTGAACGGAGTTCATGGAGGTAGTCCTAGGCTCACTGGGGCTGTAGTGCCAAGGGAAAAAAAAATTCAGTATGAGCATATTTTGTATTTCTTCTACTAAGGAATGGCTTTGTCTAGAATCAGGTAGGGTGCTTCTACCAATAATTTGAGTTTATCGTTGATTACAAGGGGCCTTTCTCTTGTAAACTTCAGAAATACAATTGATTCCTAATTTTATAACTACAAAGGTAACTATATATATTATTTTACAATGGTATGGCGCATGGAGTTACCTTTGTAGCGAAGGCAAGTTCATGTACTACGTGATATGAATCAATTAAATTATAGGGAATTTCATTGACTGTCCACGGTATATTGCTTTGTCTCTATGACACCCTGTTACTAGGCGACCATGTATAAACAGGTCGATTTATAAGCAATCATACTTCGGCCTGCGGCCATCCTGTGCCGGACATTGCAGTAGAATATAAGAGAATTTAATCGATAAGAGGCTCGGCTTGCAAAGAGCGGTAATGAGCAACGCGTGTTTTTTCCTTCAAGTAAAAATGACGGTTCATGGAATTAAGAAAGAGAACTTCAGTACCTTTTGCCAAAATTGTTCTTATGTTTACGAGAGAAACATGTCGTGGATAATAGAGGCTGAATGCCGCTTTCTGCGAAACTAATATGTGGCACTAGAACCCGCGGATTCAGCGCCGCCGCTACAAAAGCTCGCCATTGTACACATCTTGAGTCAGAACATAGCCAGTTCCGAGGCTTCTTATAGAGCTTAGCAAAACAAACAACTTACGGTGAAGGGTTTTAACCATCAGAATGGAAGACTATCCCTTGTTGACTTCCATATCTGGGGCCGTCTTATTCTTTGGCAACTTGAAGATGCGCCATGTTTTAATTGAAAAAGAGACTGGCATAACATGCCACATGCTTATTAAAACATAAATCTGTGTTAGGCCTAAGTAATGATTGCTTTTTTTTTTCCTTGGCACTACAGCCCCAGTGGGCCTAGGCCTACCTCCATGAACTTCTCCGTTCACTTCGGTTTTTCTAGATCTTACACATTCGGTAGGACTCCTTGGGCGGGTGATCAGCTCGTCGCAAGGCCTCTACCTGTACACAAACACAGAAACACGCACACACACAAACTAAACATCCATGCCCTGAGTGGGATTCGAGCCCACGATCCCGGCTTCCGAGCGAGCGAAGACAGTGCATGCCTTAGGCCGCTCGGCTACAGTGACCGGCAATGTATAAGAATAATATATAGAAATTCAGTTCGTACCTCACAGGAAACAGATCCGAAGCCACGATCCCGGCTTCCGAGCGAGCGAAGACAGTGCATGCCTTAGACCACTCGGCTACCGTGACCGGCATTGATTGCTTACAAATTATTATTTCAGAACATACAGACGTTCCATTAATATTGAGATCTTGACTTTCATAGTAAGTATATATTTATAAGTGTTTACAAAGATTTCGAAAGAACAATCCATATTCAGAGGACATATGTACTCTGGAGATGGAAGTAGCAGGTTCCTCGTAGCCACACAATAGACTACACGTCTTACAGCCCAGAAGACCACGATATAAATTCGCATCGCTGTGAAAACCTCAGATGTCATTTCCGTAATAGTTTGACAGTGTTTGTATTTTGTTCTCCAAACTTGTTTCTCACCAAATTGACACGAACATCATCAGATACCTTTAAGTGCATTTCAGACATGGGCTAAGAGTCACGTTTATTTTGCCAGCGCATTATATGTACGTTCTTACATAGGCCAACAAGACTGGAAAGAATATAGTCCTTGATGTAGGACACAAGTTTCTTAACAGCGTTTTCGAGTTTATTAAGCTTGTTTGGGGCCCGTTTATTCTAGAGGAATCCATACACTTTGTAAACGCTGGAGGGCCTATGTTGAACGAAATGGAGACTATATCGAAAAATGACATAATTGTGTACAGCTTTCATTCAATAAATAAAAAAAATGTTACGGTTTTCATTTGACTTACAAACTTGCATCGCATCTCGCATTCAATTTCACTAAATCTCATGTTAAACTCTTGTTAATTAGTAATACTCTACTACTGTTGAGAAACTGTTTATGAAACGCTGATACGTAGAAGAAATTTTTAAATTTTAAATAATTTAATAAGGTAATTAATCGAATTAAACAGACATTTGAGACCCAAAATATATTATTTCGGCTCCCGAGATTCATCCATCCACAAATGAAATGCGTGTTTATTGCAAAATGTGCTTTGTAGGAACAAACGTAAGGTTAACAACCTCGAGGAGGCAGAACACAAGCAGCCAGAAGAATCATTATTCTTCTGAAAATGACAGTGCCCATTGTAATTTTGATATGAGTGATGGATTAACTATTTATGTTTTTCTTTTGCGTTTTAAAAAAACACTCTCTCTTCATGAGTCTTTGATCAAAGTAGGTTTGTCACTACTGACCGATTTAGTAGTGGTCAGGTGTCTGGATTCCCATGTTACGACTCCAGTAAGTTCCCGCTTTTTCTTATTCCATTTCGGCTGTTGTTCCCCCCAGACACTATGTTGTAGGGCTCAAAATTTTGTTCTGAATTTTATGGTTTTACTGAAAATCGTCCATGACAATTTTATTTTCATCCTCTTGAGATTTAATATTGTTTATCTGAACTAATATTTATCACTTGGGGGCACGCGGTAGCGTAGTGGTTGAGGGGCTATGATACAAGCCGGAAGGTCGCGGGTTCAAGTCCCCATGAGGCCATGGGGTTTACTCTAACAGAAATGAGTACCAGGAATTAATTAAATAATTTTCCTGAGGAGTAAAGCGCGGCCGGCGCGTAAGGCTGACAACCTTACCGCCATCTTTGAGCCGATTGTCTAGATAATGTGGGACCCTCAATGTCTCACAACCCTATGGGCCTTCACGGCCTGGTACAGGGATAGCGTTACTTTTTTTTTTTTACTTTAACATTTATCACTTGCTCAATTATCTTAGATTTATGAAGTGTGTTATTCAACTCCTGTAAAGAAATTTGAGCTCTTTTTATGGGAATCGATGCTCATTACAGTGTTAGAAATGGTCCACCACTGGTTCGTATCCTGAGGAACATGAATCCAGTCTACAACGTCACATCTTATTGTTCTAAGATCCATTTTTATACTATTATGCCATCTACATTTAGTTCTCCCGAATGGTCTTTTATCTTCAGATATTCTATCTAAAATGCTGTATATATTTCATCTCCCTCACCTTCCTGTACAGTCCCTGTCAATCACATTAACCTTGATTTGAGCGTCCTAACAATAGTACAAGTTATGAAGCCTCTCATTTTGCAGTTTTATCCTCAGAAGCAAAATTATCGACTACATAGTTCACCAACGACAGATGTAGAAAAAAAGACTTACCTTTTCTGAGTACTCCACCACGTCTCTCATATTTCTGGGGTATCCGGAAACCAAGTATGTTTTGGCGGCCGGCGCCATCTTCATCTCCAACATAAGCACCTCTGTTACAGTCTTGCTGGAGAGTTGCCCGAAGTCCTTCATGTCTGTGTATGGACAAGAGTAGCTTACTTTAGTCAAAAGAATCTATTAAAGTTGAGGTTTTGTGAAACAACTAGGTTAGGATTGTGATAGTGCATTCAAGTGCCATGCTTCATGATTTGTTGTGTGCAATATATTGTTTGGCTTAGCTACACAGATTATGCTTGTCATTGTTTTCTAAACTACGTCCGTATTCTTATATTGACAGAACAGCTTTTGATTTCGTTGTCAAGCGTTAATTACAAATTTATACATATATTTCGATGTATTTTATTATTGTATTGATATTTATTATTATCAGCACGGATAATTTAGCTATTAAATTTTGTTTACCTAGCATTCCTTATGACTGTCAGTTCTTAAAAATTTCTTTTGAGTTCTGTAAGTAAATTTTCGCAATATTTTACAATACTTAAAATTTAACAACTTATATTTGTGTTCGTTTGACTTCAAACTGAAACATATATAATAACCTATAAGACACCGACACGGAATTTTGCCGTTTTAAAAACCTCAGATCTTGTAGACCATAAATTATAAACTTTAATTACTGTAAGATTTGTAGCTTTTACGGCGAATAAATTCACTATAATTTTCTCGGGCCACCAGCTATCTCAGTGTTGAGCCAAATGCTATCGTCTCGAGATCAGTGTTTTATGCGACTCTTACGTATGTTTCCGCTCCTAGCCAGTTGCGAGGAGTTCGTGGGAAGCCCGATGGAGGCGCCAGTTCACGGCTGTATTATGAGAATTGCTTACATGGGATGTATTCGAACCAAATATTTATAGAAAACGTGTACGAGTGTACAACTCAGAATACCGTTCACATCAAGGGGCGTGGAGAGTAAATCACCAGACAAATATGTATTCTGCTTCTGTATTTCCAATCAGTCATCCTCGATCCCTGAATTACAGTTGTCATTACATATGTATAACGTCATCAAGGCTCTTTTTATTTTACGTTCCTTTTTATAGATGAAATAGTTTGTGTAAATCATCCCCGCATTTTTGCGTAGAGGTCTCGAAATATAAATCAATTAAGATTAATATCCTGTTTTAGTTATATGCTGACCTGATAATACTAGAGATTTCTAACAATTATTTCTGATGCTCTTGTGCATAATTTCTTATTAAGAATGAGTATTGTGAGTAGAGATTGGGAAAGAATAGGAATGCGTATAGGATATTGGTAGGAAAGCCAGAAGGAAAGAGACCACTGGGAAGACCAAGGCGTAGGTGGGTGAACAATATTAAAATGGATCTCAGAGAGATAGGATGGGATGGTATGGATTGGATTAATCTGGCTCAGGATAGAGACCAATGGAGAGCTCTTGTGAACACGGTAATGAATCTTCGGGTTCCATAAAATGCTGGGAAATTCTTGAGTAGCTGCAGATTTGGCTTCGCCTCAAGAAGGGCTCAGCTCCATAAGTAAGTAAGTAAGTAAGTATTGTGAGCAGAGGCGTCTATTCAATTTTTATACAAACTAAAGATCACTGCAGTGATATGTATTTAGACGTGCTACTGAAAATAGACTTGTAGATTATTGCTTGTGCAGTTTCAGGTAGAAATGGTGGATGATCTCTGAAAGCTCGATGCTATTTTACTGGTTTCTGAATCAGAAAAGTTTTGAGAGCCACTTGTAGTTTATCATTATTCGTTTCCTTATTTTACAAAACTATCTATTAAATATTTTAACGTCTGAAAATATGTCATACTTTCATTATACACTTCAGTTCTGCTCTGATTATAAATAGCGTATACATTTATCGAGAAATTAATGGCTAAAAAGTATCCTTTCAAATTCTATTCATTAGGTATGGGCCTATTACAAATCTATATGTTTTTAAGTAAACTCTTCCATGCACAGGAAATTTCTTGAATAGACGAGTGGCTGTTAGCTTCTCGACTGTGGCCTATATCATTACTTAGCTAATTAGTTATGTGTCTGTAATACCAAACTGAAATGCAATTCTACAAATTTTTCTGTGTATAATAGTATAGCGTCCGTTCATTCTCCTAACCAAAGAGTTCGAGACGGAATTTCCTCATAGAAAAAGCGTGAGGCTGTCCACTCGCCTTTATCCGGTACCGAAGTTCTTTGCGCTGACCACGCGACACCCTCTATCCGCTAAAGTTGGTACTAACTTCGCCGACAAGCGGCGGTCGCTCGGTCGGTATAGTTCCCTTGCGGACTAAAGCCGCGGAGGTTTTTTTATACCTTTACTTCACCATAAGTCTTCATGGCGAACTCTTTAATTGATGAATGTGATAACATTTTATTTTTATTTTTTAGTAATTTGGTTTAAAATGAAAGAAATTCTGAATGAATGTAAACGCTGCGTTACCCTTTGAGTGATAAACCTGTGGAAGGCTCTATGAATGGCTGCGATTTAAGCATTTTGTTATGAATTTAATTATGTGAGTTGTTGCGTTGACAATGATGTCTTGTCCATGTATGGAAGTTTGCAACGCCTTTGAAAGCAGGATTCTAAACTGTCGCACTAACTTGGAAAATGAAGGCAATGTTCGTGTCAAACATTTCGTTCGAGGCTATTGAATTAAAGCATAAAGAAGTAGAGGAGTAAATGTATGCATTATTCTTCTGTTTAATGACAGCTTCATACAGAGCAGCGAAGTGGGGCTTGATCTCTATCAGGAATTCTATTGTTTGCTATTTTCAGTTTCTTTATTGTCTTGGGTACGTTTAAAACCGTGTGTATAGGTCTGTATTCATTATTAACAGAGATCTTCATCGAAGAAACGAAAGGATGTCTGTAGTATGTCTCGTTGAGTAGTTCGACTTCAGTCGAAGGTTTGCCTTAAAGATAACATTTCAAAATATTTTTCTTCTACTTTATATTACAGCCAAAACAGCCCGGATTCTTTTAATTCTCGAGCTATCGGCTTTGGGGAAAATATACAATTTATTTATAGTCTAAGAATATTCGGGGCATGCGGTAGCGTAGTTGGTTGAGGCACTATACTACAAGCAGGAAGGTCGCGAGTTCGATCCCCGATGACTATATTTGTTATTTAAATTTACCTAATCCTTCCAGCCGCACTATGGCCCTGGGATCGACTCAGCCTCTAATAGAAATGAGTACCACGAATATTCCTGTGGTAAAGGGCGGCCGGCGCGTAAGGCTGACAATCTCACCGCCATCTGTGAGCCGACTGTCTACAGAAAATATGGGAGCCTTGACGTCTCTCAACCCTATGGGCCTCCATAGCCTGTTACAGATATACTTTTACCTCACGAGTATTTAATAACAGTATTTCATACTATACAACACAGATTGGTAGGTTGATGCGAGGTATAATGAATTTGGAAGAAATACTGTGACATGTCAACGCATTGCCAGGAAACGGCTCGATAAACACTCCGCGATATGCGCACTCAACAATAGGACGAATGTTTATAGCCCTTTGCTAGGCAACTGTCAGGGCGCCAATCGACTGGCGAAATATCGATCACATGATTTGTTTTCAATGTGGTCCGCGCCATGCCCAGTGCTAAGCAACAGAACTGTAAACACGTCTACAATAACAGGTGTTATATCCAGGAAGGTGTTACAGGTGTTAGTGGAACAAACATTCTAAGCTACAGTCATCTGCTTCTTGACATAATTCGTCTGTGACAAATTTTATTTAAAATAATATTGAGACAAATTTTCGCTTATTTATAAGTATGTAAAGGACTATACAGGACACAATTTTTATTGTTCCTTTCATTTTATAAATTTACAGCAAATGTGGTATCAATTTTTCTAGATTGTTGGTCGAATAAATAAGAAGGTTCACTAAAATCTCAAACCAGAATTTCCATCTGTGATTATTTCCCTGATGCACAATATCTGCTTACACATTTATCAAATAACTAGGTTATCTGAAGTAATTATCGTAAAAGATCTGAATATCGGAGACATAATTGCGTATACAGCACGGCTGAAATCATGCTATTCCCAACACACAAGACTGTGGACCTACACAACACGCAGAGAGAACAACTAGTTCCAACAGGGTGTTTCAAAATACAGTTTAAGTGCAAGAGCCATATGTTAAAGAATTCAGAACAGCATTTTCATATTCCATTCAAATCTCTTATATAATTTTTAGCATCTGCCGTCATTACTGTAAACGAGATAATGTTCCTCCTTCAAAACATGTATAATCCGGATTTGGGGCTAATTATGCTCGTACTATTAACAATATTGGTGAGAACCGTGGAATAATTGACGTCATGGAGCAGAGCCAATCTTCATTTAGTCCAGAAATTATCAACCTTTTATAGAACTCGAAATTTCATTTCTCTGTCCACAAGGGCCAGCCACTGGAGCCTTCCCTGAGGCAGATTTCATGTCGTAACATAATATTTTTTAAGATCTACTTCAATATTATCTTCCATTGTAGGCCTAAGTCTCACAAGCGTTCTCTTCCCCAAACTGAAGCTCTCGCGTATTTATGCCTTCTCACGCTGTTACATTCACTGTCTCTACGTGTATTCAGCCATTTGGAAGCTGAACATAGCTAGTATCTTTTTACTGGGGCACTTGGAAGAGTTGTACTGCCATCCGAGCCTACAAGAAAGTGGGTGAGTCGTATATTTGCTCGTGGGAATGAAAATAATTTGACAAAAAACTGTCCAGTGTTAAGGCAACCTGTCGGGCTATTTTCGAATGGAGCTGGGTGAACCGATAAAAAATTCAATCGTGAGCCTGAGTACTAAGGCTCAAGTCCCGGCTATAACACCGACTGTACAACATGAGTCATATCGTGGTTTTACTTATTCATTCTAGACAAATTTCAGGAGAGTTTCTGTATTTAGTCCTCAAGCCGTTTCTAATGCTTTTATGATAATTATGTTGCTCACTCTGTATCCATTCATAACTTTCGTCATCGTCTCATCCCTTATGGCGTTTCTAACCCCTTCATAAGAGTCCTGTCACGTGTTCATCTCCCCTCACAGCCATTTCCCGTCCCACTCGATCTCTGCTGCTGTTGAC